AACAGTTTGGCACGACAGAGAATTTGCCTGGTCATGGAAGAAAATCCAAATTGTCACAGAGAACTGCACGAAAACTGTGTCGCGAGGTTAATATAAACCCAAGAGTTGTTTTGAAAGACATCGCCAAATGTTTGAATACGATGGATATAAGCCTAAGTACTCGCAAAAAACAACGTTGTTTAATTAGAAATGGGTTGTATGAAAAGCGACCACGACGAACGCCTCTTCACAAATCATGTCACATTGTTGCTGAGTTTAATTTTGCCAAAACGTTCTTGGATAAAAAAAAAATTGCATTTGGAATAAGTGCTATGGAGTGATGAAAAAAAAATTGAGCTTTTTGGACATAATGATGTACAGAAGATTTGGCGCAAGAAAGGTGAGGCTTTCCTACCAAAGATCACAGCGGCAACATGGAGGCGACTCGATGATGTTTTGGGGTTGTTTTAGCTCAAGAGAGACTGGACAATTAATTGCAATAAGAGGGTTAATGAAATCTACAGACTATATAAAAATTCTGGATGAAAATCTACGACTTCTCAACACAAAATCTTCATCTAAGTCGGCGATGTACTTTCAGCAAGATAAGGATCCCAAACATACATCTAAATCAGTGACTGCGTGGCTTCAGAAAAAGATTACAGTTCTGCCATGGCCTTCAATGAGTCCTGACTTGAATCCTATTGAAAATCTATGACAAGAGTTGAAAGTTCGAATAAATCGTCGGTCACCAAAAAAACTTTCAGTAATTAGAACGTGTAACCACTGAAGGATGAAATCTTGTTCAAATATCATCAAAAACTTTAGAAAACTATTGCAACAAGTGATAAAGATGAGAGGCCATTAATTTTAAAAGGTGAGAGGCCATTAATTTTAAAAGATCAGAGGCCATTAATTTTAAAAGATGAGAGAACTATTAATTTTGTGAAAATTGTTCAATTTTTTTCTATTTTTCATATTGTACGAATAATTTTGTCTTTTCCTATTTTACATAATTTTCACATAATATTTTCGATAATAGATTTTGAAAATTCAATTCTGAAATTCAACTTCTGATCATCACAAACAGATACTAAACTGAATGCCAAACCCTGATAGAGAGATGAATATCAGATCGAACTCTCGACAGGTCGTCTGGGCTGCTACCTGACGTTGAACGTTGAAGAGATGATAACTGCGTATGAGTTATACGATCTTATTAGAACCGGCTTTTCCGTTCGTTCGACAATACAGACACGTACACCCCGATGGCAGCACATTTATGGCAGCTGCGCGTGAGGGAATCCATGTTTGAATTTTGTTTGGTTAGAGTCAAGCAAATATCGATTTGGGTATCAGTAATCAAACACTTTACAATGGTGTTTAAAGAATAGCTTCTGACATCTACCACGACTTTCCTCTATTTATATATGTATCGATAAGGCCTTATTGATTTATTTCTACTTTACCTTTGTCGTTTTAGGAGATCCCGTCTTAACTTTTCACAAGCTGTTGATCGTAAGCAAGATGTTTATCTTGAAAAAGGGATCTACAGATACGCTTGCTGGCAGTATAAACTTTTTCTATCTATCTATCTATCTATCTATCTATCTATCTATCTATCTATTTCGGTCTGTTCCATCTCCCTCTCCCTATTTATCTATCTATTTCAGTCTGTCCCATATCTATCTATCTATCTATCTATCTATCTATCTATCTATCTATCTATCCCAGTCTGTTTCATATCTATCTATCTATCTATCTATCTATCTATCTATCTATCTGTCTGGTCTCTCTCTATATATATCTATCTCAGTCTGGCCTCTCTCTCTCTCTCTCTCTCTCTCTCTGTCTATCTATCTATCTATCTATCTCAAACTGTTCCATATCTATCTATCTATCTATCTATCTATCTATCTATCTATCTATCTCAGTCTGGCCTCTCTCTCTATCTATCTATCTCAAACTGTTCCATATATATCTATCTATTTCACTCTGTTCCATGACGTTAAGGACCATACGACATATTTATTTCCCCCATAAACGCACTAATAGAACAATATGGTACAATTAAAAACTATATTAATGAAAGTGATATAAATATACTGTTACTAACTGCTAAAAATTTGCAAATAAAAAAACTGCTAAAGTGTTATTATAATATCGATTTTGTTAAAAAAATCTGGAAAAAAAAAAAATGCATTTACAGCAAAATATCAAACTTTTGAGGATAGAACATGAGATTTCTCATTGAAGAGCAAACCCTATATATCAAAAAACATCAAATGAGAATGAAAGAAAACTATCTACAACTACATAAACAAAAATGCTTTAATCTACCCAAACACCAAGAACAAAAAAAAAATGCACATAGAATTAAAATTATATATATATATATATATATAAATATATATTATATATATAATGAACATAGGAGCAAACAGGCGATATATGCAATCGTCCAGTCTCATTGAATGTTCAAGCAAACTATCTCTGATATTGAGCCTTTTATTATAAAAAGATCAGACTATATTTCTTTATATATATATATATATATATATATATATATATATATAAAAAAAACAGACAAACCTACAACTAACGGATAAACAAAAGTATTAGTTCTTATTTTTATTTAAAATAACTCATTTTCAATAGCATTTTCGGATACAACAATACATATATATATACCAAGAACTAAGAAAAAAATGAACAACATCTATTCTATACCTGAATATATATACATATATATATAAAAAATATATATATAAATGAATATAAATAAGATCAATTCATTCTTCGGAGGCGACATTATTTGTTTGTTTGCAATATATGGATTTCTCGCCAATTAAGCCATTAGACTTTGTATTAGTTTTTGTGTGAATAATTCATGTATTTGTAAATTGATTGCACGTTTATCAATATTACATATATATATGCACATACAACTTGTGAAAGCACTCTATCTCTGATATCCAGGTGCACTTTATTCAGTTAAATACAACGATTCTATTACCCCTGGTTGCTTTTCAGTTATTATTTTTTGTGTAGTTTAGTATCTTTATATGTTTTCGTTCAGAACCAATGTTAAAGCATTTGCTTTTGAGTGCAATACACAACGCGAAATAGAAATTATTAGGAGGATTTGATAATTATATTTAATTAATTCATCTAATTAATTTCTATCTGTGTATATAATTGCTTGAACCGGCTTCTAATGCTCAACTTTGAGCGCCTTGAACCGGCTTCTAATGCTCAACTTTGAGCGCCTTGGTGATAGTAGTCGTGGCTCCTGGGGGCACAGTCCTATGGTTAGAGAGAAACTCAGATGAGTTCCATCACGGAATATGTGAGCAAGCGGCGCTATATTGAGTCTGATTTGCAACCTCTTCGTCACCGAGGCCCATTAGAACAGTTGATATGATGTTTGCTTGATAACCTAACGACCTAATTCTCGGTAGTGGATGCACACTGCTGATGAGTCCCAAATATAGGACGAAACGGCCGTCCAGTGCTTTCTGCATTCTGTTGAGGTTTCTTTCAGACTCGATGAATTAATTAAATATAATTATCAAATCCCCCTAATAATTACTATCTGTGTTTATCATCGCTTGAACCGGCTTCTAATGCTCCACTTGGTAGCGGCTTGGTGAGAGTAGTCGTGGCTCCAGGGGGCACAGTCCTATGGTTACAGAGAACTCAGTTGAGTTCCGCCACATAATATGTGAGAGAGCGGCGCTAACATGAGTCTGATTTGCAACCTCTTCGTCAACGAGGCCCGTTGGAACAGTTGGTATGATGTTTGCTTGACAACCTAACTATCTGGGTTTCAATTCTCGGTAGTGGATGCGCACTGCTGATAAGTCCCAAATATATGGACGAAAGGCCGTCCAGTGCTTTCTGCATTCTGTTGAGGTTTCTATCAGACTCGATGAATTAATTAAATATAAATATAATTATCAAATCTTCGTAATAATTTCTATCTATCTATCTCTCTATATATAGATATAGATAGATATACACCGAGGTCCACACAACCAATGAAAACGGAACAAACAGAATTTAAAAGAAGAAATATATCTCCAAATCATTCCACTCCAAAAATTTCGGATGAAGCTAAAGAAATAGTGAAACTATAAAAAATTACTATAACGACCTTCTACTAATTTGACGGCTGATCATTAATTGGAAACACCCTCCTCTAAATTTCTCCTTTTAAAGAAAGGTAAAGCGTCTTCTCCTCATAGCTTTTCACCCTGTACAGAGTCAATTCTGAGAGAATTGGCAGTCCTAACAGGATTCATTATTAGCAGCCACAATCTTGGCATCACAAGATATGCAGATGACAAAGATTTGATAACAGACAGAAAAGAAACTAAAGGGACTCCTACAGAAGGTAGTGAAGGAAAGCGTGAAGAAAGGACTAAGCATCAACTGCAAGAAGACTGAATTCATGGTTGTTAACAAAAGGAACAGTCCAACCAACATTAGAAATTTGAGATATATCGAAATCAAACAGGTGAAACTATTTAAATATCTGGGAAGCGTTTAAATAGAGAACGGAAAATGCGACACGGAAATCCGAAGGCGCATTAGGAAAATGAAAGATGCCTTCTAAAATCTAAGCAAAGTATTAAGAAACAGGAAAATATCATTAGCAATATAGAAATGAATACTGAACTGTTATGTAGTATCAGTCCTATATGACAGTGAATGCTAGGCGATCACCTCAGAAATGAAGTAGAGACTTGGTTGATTTGTTTTCTACGGTTTATCAACCCTTTGCAGGTTATTTAAAGCCAGGAAATATTTTAAATCGTAAGAATTGTTTGGGCGATAATAATAATTTAGTAATACAAGTCTTACTATTTAAACCATAGGTGGAGGGAAAGAGGTGGATTCGTTCCTTTCCCAAAGGTATTTTCGTCTAAGTGATTATTATAAAGCCAAATGGAATAGAAACACGGTTCACCTATTAACAATTCCAAGCCATTATACATTATATCACCCACGCATCCAAGCTTACAGCACCTGGTAATCCCAAGCGGTCACCCTTCTAGGTACTAATGAGGTTCAACGTCGATTAACATCGGTAATCGTACAGGAACTGGTGTTTCAATGTGATATGGCCGTAAACCCAAGAAGAGACTTGAATTAACATGTGTGGTTCTACAGAAGGATGCTGTGAATACCATGGACTAGACATGTGAACAACGATGAAGTTCTAGAGACAATGCCAATAGGACACTATTGTTAACATAAGGAAGAGGCAATTGAAATTTCTATGTAACATAATGTAGAAAGAGGGTTTGGAAAATTTGATACTCACAGGAGAGTTTGAGGATAAGAAAGACAGTGAAACGCAACGCAGTACCTACCTGGCGAGCTTGAGCGAATGGATGGCAGAGCGGAGTTTGGAAGAGATGGTAAAAAGAAAAAAATATTATTAGTTTGGTGCAAAAATAATGACGTAATAATGTCGGTTTTTGACGTATTTTTTAACGTCAAAACGACATTATTACGTCATTATTTTTTCTTCTTTAATAATAGCTAGGAAGACAGGATACTGTGGAGGGCCATGAATGCCAGAAAATTATAAAACTACAAAGCAAAAGAAACATAGACAAATCGAGATAATTATAATAAATAACAATAACTTTCCTTACTTACTTTTACCTGAAAAGACCGTCCTGGGTATGACGATAAACTACATCCAGCAGCAAGATCTCAGATTGAGAGATATTGATGAGTATGGAACCACCTTTTAATTGCTGTTGTTTCCCGGTTCTCCCTGACCCGGGGTAGTAGCACCTGAAGGGGTTCCAATAATGAGCAAATAGTGAACCCCTAAACTTGTGTCAAAACATTATGAAACTAAAAAGATACATTTTTGTACTAAAAATACCAGCAATAAATTTTATAGTAAAAATGTACCAGCAATACAATATTACTAAAGGAAGACAATAATTACCAGGAATACATTAAAAAAAAAATACTAACTCCCCCAAGAAAATTAAATTTCGGCATTAAATGACCCATAAGGTTTTGAAACCAGAAAAATATTAGGTTGGTGCAAAAATAATGACGTAATGATGTCGTTTTTTGACGTATTTTTTAACGTCAAAAAGCGACATTCTTACGTCATTATTTTTGCACCAATATTATAATTTTTGGTAGTTGTCCAAAAATAATGACGTAATAATGTCGTTTTTCGACGTTAAAAAATACGTTAAAAAACGACATTATTACGTCATTATTTTTGCACCAAGCTAATACGTCGCTTAAAAGTTATGGCTGTTACCACGCTATGCCAACTATCGCTTGTTTCGGGTAGTCCAAAATTATCGGCTAACCAGCAAAACGTCTGCCTTCAACTTTTGTTTGTAGAGTTGCATTCACTTTCGCTCCAACAATCCTGGAAAAGTCATGAATCCATCTCTTCTTCTCACTAGCTATGATAGCAGGGTTAACTGAATTCTCTTACTTTCCAGAGCCGCCACACGAGGAGCAGAATCTGGGATTAAAACTTGAAGGCAATGGCAAACCGCTGTCTTTCCTATTAGGCCATATTGAATTCGCAGATAAAGAAGAGAACACTGTAGAGAGATATGGTCGCTTACATATTGAAGCGGGGATGACAACAAAAAATATACAGGGTGTTTCACAATGGTTGAACATAAAGTGGTGGCCTGTTAGATGGGGAGAGCTCGAGGAGAGCAAAGACCTTGATGCTGGGGTTCCAGCAGAATTGTGCTCCTCCTCATACTGCTAAGGTTACCATGGCATGGCCCCGTGAAAAGTTTGTGGGGGGGCAGCATATCATCAGCCGCAAAGCTGAAGTGGAACGGGCACCTCAGTCGCCTGACCTGAACCCACCAGATTTCTTCCTCTGGTGGTTCCTCAAGGACAACATCTACAAGGGCAACCTTCGCCCCATTGCTGCATTGAAGGCAGCCACCACGGAGAAGATTCGAACGATCATCCTGGAGGAATGTGTACGCGTTATCATCAACTTTGCATTCAACAGAGCCTTCAACTGAACGGCGGACATCTAGGGTATGTTCTCTAGGGCTGCCCTTAAATTTTTTGTTTCATGTTTAAGACTAAATGGTTATCCTTTTACCTTTCAATAAATGTAATTTGCATTTCGCTGTCCTTTGTAGTCCTTAATCTGTGCCCGATCAAAATTGTGATGCACTCCGTATCATCGGCACCTGCTGGCATCCGAGCATCGGGATCGTCATCCTCTCTCCATATTCTCTTTCTTCCCTCTGATTGTGGTAATGGAGATTGCTGTGAAGGCCCAGCATACTGCAGAGTCGTGAGCAGGTGTCACAGAGCAGTGTGGGAGATGGACGTTGCTGGACAAGTCGGGGATTCTGACAGCACGGTCGCAGATCCTCCTCATGTTGACGGTTGAATGCTAATGTCTCGTTCTTCCCTTGGATGGTCTTACGCCAAGAAAGCCGATTTGCAGCAAAAGTTTCTCAGGGGTCAGGGTCGAAGTTGGTTTGTGTCAGAGAGGTTTTCAATAGATTCTCGATGCGTCGTTTTCACGATCCAATTCATTAGACCTACAAATTTGTAGGTCTAATGAATTGGATCGTGATTACAATTCCAATGTAATAAATTATAACCATGGAATATTAGAGTTTGAACCTTTTATATTATATTCGTTGTCTGTCTTGGACATTGAGTTCTACCTGGACTCTATCTTATTGGAAATATATATATATATATATATATATATATATATATTATATAATATATATATATATATATATTTCATTAAATAATATAGACAAGTGTTGTCTATTTATTTTATGTAAATTCTTTTCATAACGTCTGATAAGCTTAATAACATTATCATTAAACGAAGAAAGAAAATCACAATATTGATACATAGTTTTTAATCCAGTCTAAGCTTTCGGCTTACATAAGCCATTATCAAAGATGACAATTACTGTACAATATATTAAGCAATATACGGACAATAATGTGATGATAGTCTGTTTCTGTTTACATGGATGATTTCCAAGCAACGATAAACACGTGAATATAAGACGCTGGAAGCGAAAATCGCACCGCAGCTCATGACGTCACACATGACCACGCGAGAGTTAATTCGAGAAGTATTAAGTAGGGGAAGCCGTTGGTATAAACCAATGGCTTCTGTTACCAATTATAGATATTTAAAGATATTTGTGGAGATTTCATAGTTTATTTTGTTTCGGTTAGGTTTCAACTGTTTTATGTATATAGCTTCAAGAATTTTTAATTTTTGTTCATTGTTTTAATGTTTAAGTATAATTGTGTTTTCGACAAGGATTTTACGGAATTGTGTGTGCGGGCAGGCATGTTGTTTTAAATGCCAAAAATTAATCATATACTACACTAAATCTAGTATATCCAACTTAATTATTCGCAATGATTCTTCTCTCCCGGTTAGCGATTTGCAAAAAAAACCAACATAGTTTATAAATTCAAGTGCCCTTTGGGAGATTGTATCTCCAACGAATTAAATAATATTTATGTTGGTCACACTACAAACTCGCTTTCACGACACTTGACACTACATTTGAATGAAAACTCTAACATTTTTAGGCACTTAAAACAACATGCCTGGCCGCATATACAATTCCGTAAAATCCTTGTCGAAAACACAATTATACTTAAACATGAAAACAATAAACAAAAACTAAAAATTCTTGAAGTTATATACATAAAACAGTTAATGTTTTTTTCTCATATACTTTTGCACTCAGTAACCCATTGCGTCTTAATGGTTTTAATCTAGGAATTCATGCAAATCCATGAACAACTCATCTGCGAATCCTTTCTTGCTAAGGTTGCGACAACCAGTTTGGTAACGGTTTTAATTCTTCTTACTTAATATGAGGGATAATGTCTATAAAACTCCTGGTAGAAGACACAATACATCGCTAGAAAAAAAACGCCTAAAAACATAGGAACATTGCAGTGGGAATCAAATATAACGATCGCGAAAGCTTAGGAAATTAGGAAAATCTCTAAGGAGAATTGTAATCAAATAGTTCATGTAATTTCTCCGAGCAGAGTTTTAATTCATTTAAACAAAGTTAAATCTAACAAGGGACCCACTAACGTCAAGCAAATTCTCTTCCGTGATTCCTTCATATCAAATTTCTTTTTAACCCTTTCACAGAATCTATCTTACACATTTACGAGTCTACCATTTGTCTATGTTTAGAATATTGCTACCGCATCTGGTCTGGTGTTTCGGCTATCTATTTAGAGATTCTAGATAAAATCCAAAGAAGAATCTGCAATGTTATTTGGCCTGACCTGGCATTTCGGCTTCAGCTAACCTCCCACCGCCCTAGCATAGCTTTCCTTTGGCTTTTCTATAAATATTTTCATGGCAATTGGTCTGATGTACGATTGGTACCTAGACTTTATGAATTTAGGTGCAGTACGAGATTGTTAAGGTAATTCTGAGGGAACTGGAGACCCTACCAGGATTAATCATTGTCGACCTCAACCATACCAACATACGATATGCTGATGACATGGTACTGATAGCAGGCACGGAAAAGAAACTATAAAACCTCCTACAGATGGTAGCGCGGGAGAGCCTGAAGAAAGGACTAACCATAAACTTTAAGAAGACAGAAGCATAGTCATTAGTAAAAGGTTGAGCCCGAAATACGATTTGCCGGTCGGCGGACACTAAAATCAAACATGTGCGGAAGTTTAAGTATCTGGGAAGTGTTCTGACGGAGGACGGTAAGCGCGACGCTGAGACCCGAAGACGGATTGGGATGGCCAAGGATGCATCCCAGAGGCTGGGCAGAATACTGCGAAACAGGAGGTTTTCTTTGGTGACAAAGAAAAGAGTACTGAGCTGCTACGTGATATCTGTCCTCCTTTACGGCAGCGAATGCTGGACGGTATCCTCAAGGATGAAGCAGAGACTCGAAACGGCGGAGATGTCGTTCTACAGAAGGATGCTGAGGATATCATGGACCGAGCATGTGAGCAACGATGAGGCCTTGGAGAAGATGCAAACAAGAAGGAAGCTTGGTCTTAACTTAAGGAAGAGGCAGAAGAAATTTCTGGGACACGTGATGAGAAAAGAGGGCTTGGAGAATCTGAT